TGTTTGCGGGAGCATGTAGGGGCGGTAGGAGCTATATCCTCCGCCCGTGGCATCTGTGCCCTTTTCGGTGGGCGCAGCGGCAGCAAAGGCCACGAGGGTGGCGAGAGTGAAGGCGAAACGCATGGCTGAGATGTCGTGTTGCTTGCGAGTGCAGAGGTAAGAACTGAACCGAGGTGGGATTCGATGGCTGTGAAGAGATTGGGGCTGTGGTCAAGGGCTGTTGTGGTTCATGATCCTTCTGTCCTTTTGTAAGGACTTTGGACTCTGTTTCCATAGAGCATCACAATAGTCATACCGATCATGATTCAAGGTGAGCGCGCCAGTGAGTGTTACCCGTGTGTCAATGTGCAAAAATTGATGGTGTTGATATGCTGTGTTCCCCATACGAATCCAGACATTTTACTGGTCTTGCTGGAAAATGAGACTAACAGCCAATGATGGTCATCAAGGGTTTCCTTTTTGATAGAACGGTGTTCCCACTCCAATGGAAAGCAACGCGCATGTCAATTCGTACAAGATGGACTGTTTGCTTTCTGGGCTATTGGTGATTGTGTCATCAACCACGGGGTTCGGAAGGTTTCTATGGTCGATCGGACACGTCAACGGCAACTGATGTTGAGGCGGAGCATTCCACACGGAAGTGGAGGCGAGAAATTGTGATACTTTACGAGAGCATGCGCCTCAAGGCAAACAAAGATGAAAGATGGGACGATTACTTTGGCGTCCACATCATATGTGACGCATAATTGCTTAAAAGAAGAAGCTTCTTGCAGATGCATCGGTTTGATGGTGGACAAGGCTACGAGGCCAGTGCGATGTCGTTGGAAATGGCCATGAGTTGTATCAGCAGACACTTGTGCCGCCGTCGTCACGGGTGCCAGGGCACGTAGGGTGGCGATACGTAAGTTGTATAACGGCATCAGATTATTGCATTCCGTCCCCATGTATCCCTTTGGCTCGATTGCCGTCACAAGATACCGTGTGTTACGACCCACCTTGTTGTATCGAGAAACCCGTTCGTAGCGCACGTGGTACCCGTAAGATAGCCGTCACTCCAAGGTTTTTGTACAATGGATCGTGACTTTCTGTAGAGACAGACAGATTTTTCATAGCTTACGCGTGCTCCCAGCCTCGGTAGGCTCCTTTTTCCCTTTTCTGATTCTTTCTACAGCGTTGGGCATTCCTTGTTGAACTCGACTCACGATGCTCGGCATCTTCCGTACGCGTCCCAAGCACACACGTTTGCCACAACATGATTCAGAAAGTCTGGATAGCGACACGCTTCTGCCTTCGTCCTGCTCCGCGACAACCGAGGGTAATAAGTCTGAGCAGCTAGATCGATACAGTCGCGATGTTCAGATTGCGGTGAGAACGCTTGCGATATGTACTATTGTGTACCTAGGCGCGGCTTTGTGGGTAGTCTTCAGTGTTCAGAAGACTTCATTTGTAGTGGATCCTGATGCATTTTGCATGCATCATGTTTCGAGATACTGTGAGTGACACGAGACCAATTCGATCAACACATTGCTGATAGGCGTAGCACCGGTCGTCAGAGACGTCAATCCGAATTGGCACACCGAGCTGTTCAATGGTTCCTTCTTGCACGAGAATGTCTATCGACAGTCAGCGGGCCCAGAAGTTGATGCCGCATGGGAGGCTCTAGGCGTGGATTGTAAGTCTCCCCTAGCCGAAGTGCTCAAGGCTACTGACGTCTGATGGTAGATCGCAGTATAGTGATTCGATCGGAAGAGGCTGACGAAATGGGACTGCGGCGCGATCAGGTCAAGATAAGTCAAGAATATGGCGGTGGATTTCCCGCAAACGTGGAAGGACTGCACCATTTGCATTGTTTGGTGAGTATGACTGAATGAGTTGGATGAGAACGTGGTGGCTGACCGTCACAGAACCTCGTCCGTCAGGCGTTGCATTGGAACTACGACTATTATCTTGCGAAGAAAGAGGGGCCGTTCGTCAACAGCGAGTATATTATTCGTGTGCACACGACGCATTGCTTGGACATCCTAAGACAGGTGCTTATGTGCAACCCTGACGTGGGGGTACTGGGCCAGGTGTGGTGGCAGCCAGACACTGAGCCAGAGCCAATACCGTTTGTTGATTTCAACACACGCCATCGATGCCGGGACTTTGAGGCGGTTCGAGCATGGGCGGAGGCGCATCAACTGCCTCCAGAGAAGGAGGTCAATATGAGCCACTTCTACGAACAGCCCGAGGCAGGAGACGTGGTCTACACTGAGCTCCCATGAACTGGGTGAGGGGAGCTGGCTTGGGCTGGTGCTGGCTGGCTGGCTAGCTGGCTGGAGAGGACGTAAGCATCTGTGATTCTTGGAAAAAGAATCGATCGACGCCGTGTATTTACGTCATGTCTCAGGCTGAAGAGCAGTCTCACTGGCAGCATACGCTCGATGGCACAATGAGGGCGGCCACAAGCGCCTAGTTGGGGAAGAGGCGTGAGATGAAGAGAGCAATGGACTCAGTTTTGGCGGGGCTTGACCACGCCGTCGTGTATAATGTAGTAGACAACCGTGCTGTCCGTGTCTACTGTGCCCAACAGCACTCGCTTCGTCGTTCTAAAGGGGTTCGAGGCGGTGTTCTGCTCTGTGCCAGACGAGCGTGCTGGAGGCGGGACCATGCTGATGCCATCAAAGACAGCCGCCAACCGGCGCAACGTCCACTTCTCATTGAGTCTGGTGGGCAGGATCCATTCACGCTCAGGCGCTGCGTTGACGTCCAGGCCAGCCAGCTCCCCGGCCGCGCGTGCCTTGCGCTCACGGTCTGCCTTCTTCAACAGCTCGACCTGCTCGTCGGGGTGGACGTAGAGACGGTGGGGTGGCAAGCCAGAAAGCAGAGGGCGGGGTAGGGGCGCATTGGTGACGGGGGATTGCGTGTGCAGCTCGAGATCGGACCAGTCATGCTGGAACTGGAGGTTGTGCAGGATCTGACGGGCGAGCGATGTCTGATTCGGCAGGTGCGAACTGCCCGCGAACGCTGCGGCCTCGTCTGCCACAAAAGTTTGCATCGGCGCCGGAGTGACGAGTGGTTTCATGTTGATGGTTGTGGCCAGAGACGTCATGGCGTGGGCTGGGCGAAGGAATTGCAGGCGGGGGCGACTGGGTGGTGCGAGGGTGTTGCAGTGCAGCCGACTGTACTCTTAGTAGTAGTAGTAGTAGTAGTAGTAGTAGTAGTAGTAGTAGTATGGGGTGTTGGGTGTTGGGTGTTGGGGTGTCTGGTGGGGGAAGAAGCTATGCGCGGTTGCGGAAGGTGGCTTCGGGCAAAGGCAATGGTCGCCCAGTCACAAGAGCGCCGCCGAGCGCCATAAGAAGACAACTACGCGGCCCTACCCAGCGTAACATGAACGACGGAGGCTTGGTACCAAGTAAGTAGGATATTGGGCCTGATGTGCAGAGACGGTAGGTAGGGGAGGGTAGGGTAGGGTAGAGTAGGGGAGACCAGATTAGATTAGATTATAACAGCCATCCCCCCCCCCCCCCGTCGCCCATCCTTCTGCCGCCTTGATTGATTGTTTCGTTCTATTGTACTTTCACCTTCGATCCTTCAAATTTCAACTCTTTGATCCCGCCATGCTCATCCCAGCTCTGCTCCTTCTGGCTACCGCCGTTTCGGCTCAGCAATCACCCCCCAGTGTCGTCACCTCGATGAACGCGACTGCAACGCCAGCCATTCCGCCCATGGAACCTCCCAGCGACTTGTGGACAAACGATTGCGATTGCATCCAAGAGCCCTGTCTAGCATGTGCGCAAGGACTCCCGTGTGCCCCCGGTAAAGGAAAAACAACAAGACCAAGGCTGACTGCTACCAGGCTCGACAAGTGATGGCGATGTCATGTCCATACCGCAGGGGGAGACGCCCATCTCTACAGGTGAAATGGAGCCTACCGTCATCTACACGAACCCACTGCGATCGAGCGAGTCGGCCGTCTCCTTCCTCCCGCCTGGAGAGACACCTCTCTCGACTGGCTCACTGGACATTCCCGCAACCGCAACCCTCAACATGACTGCTGTCCCGAGCCCGACCCTCTCTGGCTCTGGACTGCCAGAACAGACAACCAATGCGGCTGTGGCGCGGAAAGGTGATGGTGCTGTCTTCTTCTTAGGCCTGCTCGGCGCAGTAGGTGCGCTTCTATGAGGTTGGTAGGGCCGAATACTTCAGGTAGGATTTGCGTCTAGCCAGGTAGCGAATATACACAAATACTCACTGAATACACTTTGCTCTGTCTTGCTAGAACGACCCAAACCTTGGCACAGATTGCAGAGAGTGAAGACAAGGGCAGAATGACGTAGACACGCTTTGGTACATACACGGTACCTACCCTACTAGCCAACAACATCGTCAGCGCAATGCATTTGCTTTACTGTACTCTGTGTTCCAAGACTTGATTTCCTCGATGCATATACCGTATCAGTCCATGGAGAAAGGATGCGTCACTAGCGCGTGGCTTGACGTTCGGGCGTGGCGTTGAGAGAAGTGGGAGTGTGGGGATGGGCGTTCGCCCTCTCGGTCTAGCCCATGGCCAGAAAACAAAATAAAAGGACAGCCGTCTGTCTATCGCTGCATGGCCGCCGTGTCATGCTTCTCCTTCAATCGCCTTTGCCTCCTGTGTTTCATCGTCTGGCTGCCAGTGCCAGCAAAGCAAGTTTATTCCCGAGTGACGAGCACACATCCCCCAATCGCGGTAGTCTACCACAAAAGCAAGGATCCAGCCAAGGGAAGCGCCACAGCCAGTTGCATAGCACTTGGCTGACACGTTCAGTCGCGCACGCCTCAAGGCAAAGCTGCAGGCAGGGGCTTTCTTGTACAAAACAAGCGTCCCTTGCTGCTGGTGGCAATCCTCTCCTCCTCTACCCACCAACATCATGGCCCCTTCAAATTCTGGCTCTGATTCACGTCCTGGTGCTGGCCCAAATGACTCCAATGGCAGCATTCCGACCCCTGTACCCTTTCCGCAACCAGAGGGAATACACAATCCGCATGCATCGAGCCCTGCTACCACGCAATCCAAAACACGCCACAGGTCTGACACCAGCTCTTCCAATGTCTCCAGCAGAATACGTACAGCGAGTATAAAACTCATGGAGGCATCACCACCACCGGGCATGTGGGCAGCCACCGGCCAAACGGCGTCCAGAGCACCATCCTTGGCAGACATTCGCAGAGGTTCTTTTGGTTCCGACGGCTGGAACGAAGAACAACAACGCAAACGGGCCGGCTCGAGGACGAGCCAAGGCGAAGAGAGAAGAACGCCAGCATCGACACCGGGCGAGACACGACCATATGGTTCTAAACGAATGGCATCCGACAATAGTGCGGGAGGCGTACAACCATTCCCAGCCCTGACCGAGGAGGACGCTCGCCAACCAACAAGCCATGATGGCACGCACGAGAAAGCAGTGCCCGACCAAGTTGCAGCCAAACAGAGCTCAGATTCTGAAACACATCTTGCTCGAAACGGCTCGGCAGCTATAGGACGGACGCTGTCTGGAGGAGTGAGTCCCTCTTCAACAAGCACCTTGCCCTACATCCTTCATCTAACGATTGCATAGTATGCCAATGGCTACGTTCCACCACCCAAATTACCCTGGACGCGATCTTTCATAATCGGTCTCAAGAGTTTCGGCAAGTGGTTCATAACGCCCTCTGGCTTTCTGATTACATTGTATGGTCTCAACGTGGTCGCCTGGGGTGGCATGCTCTTCCTTTTGCTCTGCAATGCTGCACCGGCCATGTGCACCCCGACTTGCGACGACATCAACTCGCCCCGCAGGAAGTGGGTAGAGTACGATTCGCAAATCCTCAATGCTCTCTTTTGTGTCACTGGCTTCGGGCTTGCCCCATGGCGTTTCAGGGATCTCTACTGGTGGGGCTGGTGGAGAATCGGCGGATCTAAGCGCAGGGAAATTGGTATCCGACGGCTTGCGGGAATACATCGTGGCTGGTACCGTCTGCCAGGCTCCGATCAACTGCCAGAGAAGGCGGATGCAACCCTCGTCAGTTCTGAGAACCCTGCTGTGCCGATTCCTGCGAGCAAGATCCCCGATCCACCTCCGACGGGCATTCGCGCATCGCCCACAAAGAGCTGGAAGATGGATTTTGTTCTCTGGAACAATGCGGCGAATACCTTTTTCCAAGTCGTTCTCTGCTTCTACATGTGGAATTACAATCGCATCGAAAGACCGTCATGGGCGACGGGCACTTTTGTCGCCATTGGCTGCATCGTAGCTGGCATTGCCGGTATTATGATGTGGCGCGAAGGTGTGCGCATCAAGAAAGTCGAGGGCGTCCCCATGAAGAGAGGTCAGAACGAACGCCCGGTCGATGCCGAGACGAATTCGGCCACCAACATACCGTTAGTTTCGACGGGTAAAACGGCAAAGTCATGATGATGTTTTGGCAGGGTCTTCTCGGACAGGATGCAGCTCTTACTCTTCCATCATCATTGGAGCGTTGGCGTTTAGGCATCCTTCTTGGCGCAGGATCACGTCTGCAAAACCTTTGGACACGTACAAGTTTCTTCATCAGGATACCCAACGCCTGCGGGCGCTACACTTATACACTTAGGAATATTAATTAACCTGGTTTCTTTGGTTCAACGTGGCTTCTACTCCCTTCGTTGTGTGAGTATTGTGTATCTGGTGTGAGGAAGAGAACTTTGTCCCGCATCTATCCATCGATCAATGGTCTTGCAGCCGGGGGGCTACATCTGCATGCTTACATACTTTGCCGAGCACTCCGGGTGCCCCGAGACCTAGTCATGCACTCCTAAATGATCCCGAGGTAGATCCTCGACCAGTTCACAAGAATGACGTCGCACTTCTGACTACATTTGGGGTGTGACTATTGCACGAGACCCGTGATAGGACATTGTGTACTCTAGCCAAGGTCTTGGGCTACGCGACTGGCTATACATTGCCACTACGTGATACTTGAAGTCATAGTGACCCAAGCCGTGTGTGACTATTCATACTTGTGCTGCTCGCAACAGAAGAGACTCAAGCATCGCTGACGATTTTGAGAATCATTGTTTCGTCAACAACACCTACCAACTATACAATTACCTGCTCGGACGTATATAGAGTTGGAAAGAGATGGCGGCGCAAGAATACTATTTTGGCACCCATGGTGCACAAGAATTATCAGAACAATATCCAAATCCATATCCATATCCACAGACTCAGCAACCACAACCTCACCACCAGCAACCACTTCCACAAACCTACTCGTCGAGCCCGCAACATAACCCGCCTATCTATCCAACATCGCCTCCAATGTACTCTACCTACCCTCCACAACCAACCCAACCCTCTCACCCCCAACAATTCGCGCCACAACATCCATTACTCCCTCC